CCAACTCAAGAATTTTCCAGCCTGCCCACTTACCTTTGGGATCTCAGATTCTATAGATCTGAGATGGATGGATATATATGCACTATATATATCCATATATATGCACACATATATGCACTACTGGTTCAGCCACACTTGATAGCTGTCCTTGGGTCTTGAAAAAAATGAAAAAATTTCCATGTGATAAAAAAAAAATGTGACGTTTACAATTAGGATTCCCTTTCTTTTCAAAGTTCCTTCCTGAAATATTACTCAGTGAATGGGTCAGTCAATCCACTTGCCAATTCACTGGCTAAGAAAGAAAACCTTGTCAGCAAGGAATATTTTTGTTTTTAAAATTATTTTTATCAATATTCTGAGGTTTCTGAAATTCTATTTGAAAATTCTCTATTGGCAACCCTGGAAGCAACCAAAATCACTGTCTACTATTATTCCCTCCCATCAAGCCAAACCCTTCCCTTTTCCTCCTCCATCCTTCCTTCCCACTAGGAACACCATTCTGCCTTTTAAATCTTCTGTGATCTCTTAATAAGATGATATAATCATAAAAAAATAATTTCAGTGTACTTCTGATCAATAGTGCCTTCTCTGGTCACACACTTATATTGTTAACTTTTGATTCACCTTCTCTAAAACCAACAGCTAACACCCCATCTTTGGAATTTTAGTTTCCTCATTGAAATATCTGAAAGCAGACCAACACAGTAATTATATGATAGATAGGTAGGTAGGTAGATAGATAGATATAAGAAAAACAACCTCCTTAGCCACACGTGATAGATTTTAGAAGATAACAAACCTGATTTCAAATATACTGCCTTATTGTGCCTATATATCATATACTTTTGTTTCTTAGAGATAACTGAAATTTTTCCTTGTAAGATAATTACCATAAAGGTGACCTTCCCATTGGTAGCATAAGAAAAATAATAGGTCTGGTATCTTTAAAGCATTCTTCTAATTCTGATGTTTCTGCGAATATGAGTCTAAAGATTTGATGAAAGAACTGAAGTATCTAAAATGTAGAGTGGTAAATCAGATTGTTGGGATGGCAGAAGAAAAAGGAAGAAATGGGCATTTCCAGTATTTTCCCTATGAAGCCCAAGTTATATACAGCTGGCACAAACTAGTATAAGCTTACTGGTTGTTAGAAAAAAAAATAATAAATCACTTTTGTACTAGTTGGTAACTACTTTTCTGTGTCCCCTAAGTTTGCCCCACCTTCCCAGTCCCACYCCACGCTTTGGGGCCTCCCCTACCCCACAATCCAGAAACTAAAGAGTGCCTGGCTCAATATCTGGCTCAGTGTTATCCTAAAAGTCCAGCCTCCAGGGCCCTCAACAGCTTCTCCTAGGAATCCCAGGTGGTAAGSAATGCCCACCCAATCTTAGGCAGTCCAGGAGGTACCACTGAGCACATCAGCCAAGTCTTCTGCTTTAGGCACATGAACTCCCACCATTGTGTATCTCCCCAGCGTGGCAGGCTCTGGAAGTCCAGTGACAAACACCAGGTTCAGACCTCCCAGACCCATAGCCATCTAACTCTACTGGCAGTATCTCAGGATATTGTCACATGGTTTTGTACGGGAGCTGTAACTTTCACTATAGGAATCGAATTTTACCTCCATTTTATGGATGAATTTTTAATACCCACCCAATTCCCACCCTTCACTTGTAACAACTTGAATTTTGTTCATGGCATTGAGAGCTAAGGCAGCATAGGTCTGACTATGCCAATGATTCTTCTAAAGGCATATTAACTCACTGCAGTACTATAAGTATAGTTATCATGACCCCTGCCCCCCATAAACATTTTACAAGGACACTGATAGGCAGGGAAGTTGCTTAAACCTTGAGAAGGTAAGCCAGGATTTGAATCACCACTTCCTGACAAGAGAGCCACATACTTAACTATTGGACTACAATGTCTTCCATTTGGCAGAAGCAATTAAGTTTGGACCCAACTAAAAATTAGTCTAATAAACATTTTCATAACAATAATAGAGATACTAAATGTATTTTTTTATTTTTAAAATTATTACATCATATGTACTTATAACCACGCGCATATATACACATTCATTCTCTTGAGTGTAATTGCTATGAATTTATCGAAAGAGTATTCAAAACAAAAAGAAAAAATTATTGATGATATAAAGAGAAATTTCCTAATTATTAAGACTACTAGTTCCCTAATAGGAAAGTCTTTGTTCATAAATTTATTTCATCTCTCTATGTAATTTCAAGCTCCATTTAGCTAGTGATAATGGCAAACAAAACATTACACCAAAATCAACAAATAATTAGAAAATTATTGGATTGGATTTGATAAATGCTTTGCACTATAAGATATATATCCCTTGATCAGCAGTTTTGTAAAACTAGTGTTTAATTTATCTAAGGAATAGATTTTATCATTACTTATTACATATTAATTTATATTAGTGTGCTAGTTGTTGAATATATTTAAAATTAATCTGCCTAAAAATTTCAATCAAATGCATATGGCTAAAAATTTTGGAAATCCTCCAAGAGAATATTTCTAAATCTATGATCATTAATCGACACTTAAAGAAATCTGGGCCCAATAAAGTTAATGATAGCATTTGCTCAAGGAGAGAGATCTGGACAGATTTTATACACATATATGAAAGCTGAAATCTAATTAATTTCCTAATCCCTGACCTGAAGAGTATGTGAGGGGAAAGGAATGATTTGCATGGAACTGAGAAAATAAGGATTCAGAGAATATTTGTCATGTATTGAGTATTCGAGGCAGAGTAAGACAYTGAATTTGGGAGCAGGCATATTCAGACACCAATAAGTTGATCTCCTGTAGGACCAGGAGACTTTACCAGCCTTTTCTAGGTTTTCAATGACCAATGCTCAGTAAAGTCCACTTTCCGTTGTTCTGCTTCTATGGTGCCCAGCAATTTTCTGCTTAAAAATTGTCTTCTATTCCTGACTTCCTGCCTTACTATCTGGCCCAGTACTTGTAATATTATTGTAGGAATTCAATAAACAATTGTGAATAGTTGAACAAAATAGTAAGTTCCCAAATGAATAAAAATTTGGAAAGCATTTCCCCACCTAAAACAACAGTATTCTGATCACAGGAAAGTCCCTCCTGCTAAATCCCACATGAACATCAACATCCTGGAGTATCTATCACTTTGACAGGGTTTGTTACAGGTTCCAAAAGGATGGGCCACCTCTCATTACACCACCAAAACCAGTTTCAGGACCTGCAGAACTGAGGACAAACTCTGACTTCTAAGGATCTCACCTGTTCCTGTGGGTAAAAATGTGGTTTTGTCCAAATATCTGCATCCTATAAAGCTCTATCTGGGATTATAGTCTGTATTATTATAATGTAACTGTACTAAAACAGTACTTCCTTCTTTAATTTTTTTTTTTAGAGAGAGAGAGAGAAATTATTTAATATTTATTTTTTAGTTTTCGGTGGACACAACATCTTTATTTTTATGTGGTGCTGAGGATCGAACCCAGCGCCCCGCGCATGCCAGGTAAGCGCGTTACCACTTGAGCCACATCCCCAGCCCCCTTCTTTAATTTTGAGGGAAGAGTAGGTGGGGTAAAGGTGTTTGTTAGTGAAGGATATCCTACTCCCTAACTTCTTATCCTTTTCAAAACTAAAGCATTTTCCCCTTGTGTTGTAAAGGTAATACAAGTTCAGTATCTCACTCTTTTCAAAAAAGTATTCAACATAAGAAAGTAAAATTAAATATGTTTTAAATGCCCAAAAGTCTGACACCTACAGACATCTTCGTACACTGACTTCATCTTTTCCCTCTGTGTAATATTTTGCAATTCGTGACTCTGAATATACTGAATACACCTTCATGTTCCATGTTTTTTACTGAAAATTAAAATGCATTATTCTATTACATGTCCCAATTTATTTTTATTGGCTGAAACTACTATTTCCAGTAGATGAGCCAGAATTGGCAATTCTCCTATCATTGTTTGGTTTAGTTGTCTTTAATTTTTCTATTATAACAACAATGTCATTAATATATCTTCATGTACAGATAATTTTTATTTCTTAGGATAAATTCCAAGAAATGGAATTATAGTGCCAAATATGAGAAAATTTTTTTTAAGATTTTTTTTTAAAGAGAGAGAGAGAGCATTTTTTTTAAGAGAGAGTGAGAGAGGAGAGAGAGAGAGAGAGAGAGAGAGAGAGAGAGAGAGAGAGAGAGAGAATTTTTTTTTTTTAATATTTATTTTTTAGTTCTCGACGGACACAACATCTTTGTTGGTATGTGGTGCTGAGCTGAGGATCGAACCTGGGCCGCACGCATGCCAGGCGAGAGCGCTACCGCTTGATCCACATCCCCAGCCCAAGAGAAAATTTTTAAAGACTTTAACACATGCAGTACAATATTTAAAATCAAAGAACATGTTCATTTGTTTCACAATCGTCTTCTTGAGAAGATCCTTTATTTTATTTACTAGTTCCTTTAGCTGCCTTCTTAGACACAGAGAAGTCACTGTCTCCTAGCATAGGGCTCATAACTAGATTTCACTGGTTTCCTAGAGACAGCCCGGGTTTCCAGAGACAGTTCCATGATCTTTGGCAATTGGGGATATATCTCACAAGAATAATTTAGTCTGTGTATAGTCAATAACCAAGCTTCAGAATAGGTCATTACTTACAACCTCTATCCTCCCTGAACGCTAATGAAGATCTAATGACCTGAAATGCTTCCAGTCCATTTGCCTTGGACTGCAGTGAAAGTGCTAATAAACAGTGAAAGAAGTACTAGGGGATTGAGAAATACAGTCGGAATGAAATCCAAGCTTTCCCAATTCCCATCCAGTCTTTCTTCCATCCCTTTCCCTGGGCGCCTTCAGGTCTGGCAGAGGAGGGGGCGGGACTCCACGTTCCCTAGCAACCGTCGCCTGCTCCTGATTGGGTGATCGCTGCGCAGCCGCCATTTTCAAATCCCCGGATGATGGTGGTGGTGGCGGCTCTCTAACAGGCACTTGTTGCCTCCTAGAAGCGGCGGGCACTGTGCCCGTCCCTGTCGGTCTCCCGGGCACCCGGCCACCGCCCCACCCCCTCTTCCACGACATGGAGCTAGAGCCGGCGGCTCAGAACCAGCCCCGGCCGCGGAGGCGAAGCCGCCGGGCCTCCGTACTCAACGGGGATGGCGCCGCGGGTCCTTCTGCCGACACCCCACGGCCGGAGCTGGACGGGAGGTGAGCGCGGGGTCCCGGGGAGGATGTGGGCCTAGGCCGGGGGTGGGGAGCAGGGCACGGGTTCCCGGGGGCCGAGTGCGATGGGCAGCCCGAGCGACGGAGGGCTCGACCTGGAGCTGACGTCCGTGAGGCCCCGACTGCGGCTGCCCAGCCCTGCGAGGAGGGGCGGGCTTGTTGACACTCTCCTCCTGGCCCTTCCCAGAGGCAGAGGAATAGCCACCCTGGTTCTGTGCTCCACAGAGGCTGCAGATGCTCCGACCAAAACTCTCACGGAGTTTGAACCTAAAAGCGAGTTTTTCAATAAAACGTTTTTCGGAAGCCAGAATCTTCTTTGCATGTCGGAGTCTGGAAAGGATAGACCCTAGACTAGGGTTTCAGAAAGCTGTATCTGGAAGGAGTCATGTAAAAAAAATAATGAAGACGTTGCTTTCCATTGCAATGCGGTTGGTTCCAATTACAAATTGAATGACCTTGGTTGAGTTGCTTACTACCTCTTAATATCTCTGCACAGTGCATTATAATAGTACCCAAGGGCCATGTGAAATTTAGTGAATGTAAAGTGCTTAGAATGTGCCTGTACACACACACAAAAAAAAAAACAACCTGTTAAATAAATGTTAACTTACTTGTCCTGTTAACTGTCATTTGTCTGGTTTATATCTATAAAAATAGTAATTCCTGTCTACTCCATCTTTTCAGAAGTCCCTGTTGTTCACGAACATTATTTTAGATAAACTACAGTCCTTTATATAACTTACATTCCCGTCAGGCTTGGATATGTCAATCCCTTTTTGAGAAATAGGGGGAAAAAAACACTTAGTTTCAGCAACAAAATGTTTATAAGCCCAATGTAAGTTACTCTACAAAAAGCTAGAGTTTTTCACTCGAGCTGATATTTGTTTGTTTATTGATACGAGATATTGAAAAACCCCCCACCCCCGTACTTAACCACCAAGCTACATCCCCCATCTTTTTTATTTTTTAAGACAAGGTCTCTTAAGTTCTTAGGCTGGCTTTGAACTTATGATGCTCCTGCTTCAAGCTGGTTTTTACTTGAAGTTGAGGATAATCTTTATCTGAATATATCTTTCTGAAACCTTCTCTATACCAATTATAGCCTATCATTAAGAAGTAGTGAAAGAGCAGAGAAAAAGAAGCTACCATCTCTTGAGACTAAGAAGTAGGAGAACCAGAAAAAACTAGTACAGGGAAAGTAAAATTTAAAAAAAAAAATATTATCTACTGGAAGCAGTGTTAAATTCATTTATTCAGTATTATTGCTGAATACCGACCTGGTATCAGACATTGTTGTAGATAATGGGAATTCTACTGGAAAAAAAAAAAAAACAGATGAAGTCCTTTCTTTTGTGCAAGTTGGTTGGGGGACAAAACAGTAATCAAATATATAAAATATCAGGTGGTCACATAAAGTGAATCAGGCATATGGTAGGAAGACTAGAGTTAGGAAGAGGGTAGTTTGTTATTTCTAAAAGATCACAAGGAAAGTCTCTGATGATAATAAAAAAAAATTGGAGCAAAGACTGAAGGAAAGACCTAGGCCATGCAATATTTGGGGGAAGAGTATTCTAGATAGAGAGGAACAGCAAGTGCAGAGATTTTGAAGTAGAATTCTATTGGGTGTGTTCAAGTAACTTCAAAGAAAACAAGGTGTTTTAGTTGGCTTTTTCACTGCTGCAACTAAAAGACTAGACTAGAACAATTGTAGAGAAAGAAAAGTTTCTTTGAGGGCTCACTGTTTCAGAGGTCTCAGTCCGTTGACAGCCGGTTCCGTTCCTCAGGGCTTGAGGTAGGCTGAACACTGTGGCAGAAGAGTGTGGTGGAGGAAAGTAGTTCATATAATGATCAGAAAGCAGAGATAGACTCCTCTGGCCAAATACAATATATACTTCAAAAGCATGCTCCAAGGGAACCATCCTCTCCAGCTACACCCTACCCCTCTTCAGTCTCCACCCAGTTAATTCCATCATGGGATTAATTTACAGATTGGATTAGGACTCTCAGCCCGATCATTTCTCCTCTAAACCTTGCATTGTCTCACACCTAAGCTTTTAGGGGACATCTGACACCCAAACTATAACACAGGATGACTAGAGTTGAGTGAAACAAAGTGAGGAATGATAGATGAGATCAGAAAGATGACTGGGGCTAGATCATCGAGTAACTGGTGCACCATTGCTAAATTTGATTTAGACAATTGGGAAATAAGAGGAAACGATGTGATCTATATTTTTAAAGACTCACTCTATTATGTAGCAAAGATGGAATAACAAAAGACCAATTAGGAGGTTATTGCAGTTGATACAACATGTGAGCATGAGAGGTGGTGAAATGTGTTTAATATAAATTAAACACAAATTTAAAATTTAATTATATTTAATTATTTATATTTAATTATTTATATTTAATTTAAAAAWTTTTAATTATTTATATTTAAATTAAATATAAATTGGGGACACAGTCAAGGAACAACAAAGTTTTTTTTAATTAAAAGCTAGAACAAGGCACTTTAATAAAAAAGTCTTCTGAAATAAATTATAATTCATGTCACTTAATAATATGTAGATATAATATGATAAATGATAAAAGATTATGCGGATGACAGGCTCTCTTTCCTATATAAGTGCACAGATTAGACTTTTAAAAATACTGCTGTAGAAAAGTGCTATTGTATAACTACATGGAAGCCATATGTGAGGAGTGGGTTGAGAAGCAGCAATTAATGATCTCAAAAGATTATTCTTAATCTAATACAAATATATGTTACAAAGTAGCATTCACAGTGGCACTTAAAATATTTAATAAGCGTTTCCTTTTGGGTATAGGACAAGTATTAAGAAGAATTACAAATCTAAAGCTATTAATACTTTTTTATTACACAGAAATAACTGTACTGACCTCAGAAAGGTTTTTTTTGTTTTGTTTTGGTTTGGTTTTTTTTTTTTTTGGCATAGGAGATTTAACCAGAGGGGCGTTTAACTACTGAGCCACATATGCACCTCTGTTTATATTTTATTTTGAGACAGGTTTCTAAATTGCTGAGGCTGGCTTTGAACTTGTTGTCCTTCTGCCTCAGATTTCTGAGCTGCTGGGATTACAGGTATACACCACCATGTCCGGCTCAGAAAGAGTTTGATGTCTAAAAGTTTGAAAGAAAAATAGCTCTTAAGAATTCTTAAGACATTAACGAATGGAAAAACGTTTCCAAATCAATGGTAGATTCTTTCCAGTATTATCTGTAATCAGCTTTACAATAATGCTATTTTCCCCCATTTTAATAATGAGTCTATTTATTTTGAATTCCCATGGAAAAAAGAAACCTAAAAAACAAATTATGTCCAGAAAGCATGTGTGACAGTGCCAGACTTCCAAAAATCTTGGAAAGATACACATTTTTTTTATAGAAGGCAGACTCAAAATCTAGTATCTATTTTAAATTCTTATGGGAAAATTTTTTCAATTTCATAAGACTTTAAGATTAAAAGTGGCCTTTTTATAGGCCCCACAGGACATTCTACTTAAAAGGTGGGGGAGGGGGTTTAAAAGATTGAAATGTAAGCTAGAAATGGTAGTCCTTCATCTTTTCGAAAATTTCTATCCATATATACAAATATTTTTGTCCATATATTGAATATACTTTTAAATATGCCCAATAATAAAATTGAAGTAAAAAATAATACATTAATGAGCTATTGTGGTTTATTACATATTTTTTTATTTAATGCCACTGTGATTTCCCTTGTATCCAACATACTTTCTTTAATATTATTTGATGTGTTTCTGAACAATGTAAATTATTTTTACATTAAACTAGTTTTAATACAAATGAAGAATAATTAGAAATGGTAAGGCTGCTGTTTGAAAAGAGAATCATTCTGTTAATTCTTCTAAAGCCAAATTATATCTTCAGAGATTTTGATATATCATTGCCTTCTTCTACCATGACAGATATGARTTGAAGTAGAATTATAAATAGAAGAAAGGTATTAAACTGTTTAATGGCATTCTCAAACAATGTATCAAACAATATGATTGCCAACAGGAAGAAAAAACACATTCTTAAAAACAGAATTATTTTCAAGGTGTTTCATTGTAAAATGTAGAATGGAATGAAGTTTAAAACAAACAGTTAAAAAAGCAATAGCTAGTTATCATTTATTGTCTACTATGTAACAAGCACTGTATATATAAATATATATATACATATATATATTCTTATGAAAACATCACAACTCTTCCAATTAAACTACAAAACTATAAAGATACTGACTTATCATAAAGTACACACTTTATTGAACTTAGAAAACTACAGAAACCCTTGAATTGATTTAAACTTGCAAATTTAAACTTGTAAATTTCTGCAGGAATGACAGCCATCTGTGGTGTTTTTAAATTTATGATGAACAAAGATCATGAAAGTCAAAGGAAAAGACCAGATTCACAAATGGACTATGGCCCAACAATCCAAGAAGCTAAATAATAACTTCTATAATACTTAGCCTAAAATAGCCAGGACTTCATTAATAACTGTCAGTTTCCTAACTTTGGTCCCATTTCCTACTTAGGACCAACCAAAGTAAGCCAGATAGGCACCTTATCCAATCACAATACACACACACACACACACACACACACACACATTCTTTTAGTTAGCTCGCCTACAACTTCCCTTCAATGACAGTCTACATTCAGGACACACTTGAACCTCCCCTGTTTTTTCATTATAAGGCTTCATGCTCCTCTGTTAAAATGCAAATGATGATAGCTGACTCCATTGCCATAGTAAACTCATAATACTCTTTACTTTTCTCATATGGTTGCTCTTCAGTTATTTCCATGGTGGTGGGATTGGGGACATATCTCTGCTTTATTTTTCTTTACATTTGAATTAATTTAACAATAAATATGGCTTATAAACTGCCTTTATCTCCTATGCTAGCTATGTTTGCTTTTCTACATATTTTATAAACAAAGAAGTTTATATTTTTATATAGAGGTTTGTATTTTAGAAAGGTAAAGACAGCTTTTGACATAGGAATATCCTGATTTATTTCTTTAGAGTGAATGGAAAACAAAATCCTTAAGGAACAAAATTCTAACCAAAGTTTAATCTTACTTGAGGTCTTTATCTCAAATGTATTATTCAGAGCTTTATATATAGTTTAAAATTGAATTTTTTTAAATCAGGGATTTTCAATACCAATATCATGGATTTAACATGGATTTAAATTGGGGGTGAGGGGCAGGTGGTACTGGGATAGAACCCAGTGGTGTTCTACCAGTGAGCTACACAACCCTTTTTTTTTTTTTTTTTTTTTGAGACAGGATCTGTCCAAGTTGTCTATGCTGGCCTGGAATTTGCAATTCTCATGACTCAGCCTCCTGAGTTTCTAGGATTATAGATGTGCACCATCACACCCAGCTAGGTTTTACTTGTTAAGAATATTCTTCTGTTTTTATTTGTTTAAATATTAGGCATGAATAAATTTCATATTTTTTAATCTAAGAAAGTTCAACTTGCCGGTTTTTATTTAACCTATTAATGCAATGTATTATATCAATAAATTCTATATTATTGATCTCTGTGTTTCTAAAATAAACTCTGCTTGGTTTGGTGAACTATTTTTTTATTCTCTTTTTTTGGGGAGGAGGGGGGTACTGGGGATTGAACCCAGGAGTGCTGAACTACTGAGCAACATCCTCACCCTTTTTTATATTTCATTTAAAGACAAGGTCTCACAGTGACTTGCTTATCTGCTGAGGCTCACRATCTTCCTGCCTCAGCCTCCCAAGTTGCTGGGATTACAGGTGTGCACAGCTTGTTCACTAATTTTATATAAGGTATTTTACTCTAAAGATTTTGAACATGACCAGGATCTGTGTCCTTTTTTATTTTGTGCCCTGTCCCTCTTATTTCCAAGATTGAATGACTAATCAGGCAATTTTAAATGGTTTTAAAACTATGTAGTCTATTTATTTATTGTTTGAATTTTCTCTTCATAGATATTCCCTTCGGAGAGGTAGCTCCTTCACATTTTTAACACCTGGCCCCCACTGGGACTTCACTTTGGTAAGTCCATAATGGGATTTTTATTTCAAGGCATTAGAATTAGTTCCTGGGTTGTCTTTCAGTCTCTTGTCTCACTTGTCTTTACTTCTGAATATCTTGAATAGAATTTCTACAGCCATCTTTTGCAGCCCAATTTAGTCTTTTTCTTTTCTGCTAATAAGCTGGAAGAATTTTTTTATTTCAAGTCAATAAAACACAATTTGCAAAGCATATATATATATATATATATATATATATATATTAATCTTTATACAATCCTTTCTCACTTCCTACCAATGTTAAATTTAAGATCATATGTTATGAAATATTAATTAAAAATATAAGATGCTTGATTATACATATATAAAATTACATATATACGTACTTAGTGTAAACAAGTTATTCGAAATAAATATACATATATAAGATAAATCATTTTTTGCTATTGATCATCTCAGGATGGAGAAACTGATGCATTATTTTTAAGGCAAGATTTTACAAAGGCATTTATTTTTGTGTGATGTGACACTAGAAACCTGATTACAGTATAATACATATATAAATAAATTATACAAATAGATCATATAATTCTTATGCTTTTATATTTGGGGAAGATAGCAAAAATGATTCTTTTTCTAGTTTGCCAGTTGTAACTTATATATCTTTTGATACTGTTCTAATGAATTAGGCAATACAGAATTAATTTGCATTCTTTTCTGTTTAATACATGTTTCTGTTGGGTATTCTTGTTGAAGATTTCTGTGCTTTTATTCCCATTACATGTGTCATTTAGCCACTAAAGCATTCATAGCAAGAGTCTCCTAATTTTTAGTGCAATTCTATATTTTCCTTTGAAACGTTTCCCATCTTGGCCCTTTTTCCTTATAGGCTGATAAGCCTAACCTCAAACAGAAATTCAGTAAATAAGAGTCCCCATACATTTGATTGTGCAGACCTATTAGCAAAAATATATTGAGCATGTACTCCTAGTGTATATTTTAATTTATGTAGTAATATTCTGAGCTATCTTAAAGCACAGTATTCACTTAGGGTAAGGTTAATGATAGTGGGCATCAATCAGTATGATTGTCTACATAGAATACTATGTACATAGCATCTACTAAAATAATAAAAATTGAAACAAGAATCTATATACATTAGCAATAAGAGAATCAAATGTGACTTTTAAAGACCTATATGAATATAGGAAGAATTTTTTTAAAAACTAGCAATAAATCCATGAAAGATTTATGTATGAGAACTTTATGGAGAAAATTGGAAAGCATTAAAAAAGAATATAAAAGACCTAATTAAATAAAGAAATTACTATTTTCATGCAAGAACTCTATCATAAAAATGACAACTTTTTGCAAATTACTCCATATTTGGTGAAGTTTTAATAGAAATCCTTTTGGAATTTGATAGATCTCATTCTACAATTCATGGGGAAGAGTAGAGGACCCCAAAACAAAAAGCAGTATACAAGATAGGAAGTGTATGACTTAACTGTATTGTATTGGTTATTAAAACACAGGGTGATATGGGCACAGGAATGATAAACAGACCAACAAACAAAATAAAGAACCCAGATACTTACCCACATGATGCTAGAACTTACTGTATCACAGGCATAATAAAGGAGTCATAGGCGCTCAACAAATTCTGTCAGGGTGGGAGTAACTGACTGTCCTACCTCATGCTACATACATATAAAAGTAAATTCCAGATGGCTCAATGAAGTGAGATTTCAAGATATTTTAAAGAAATTACAGTGGAATGTTTCAAAGCCTATTAAAGGTTCTTCATGCATGTACTCACACGTACGCAATTTCATGTGACATTTACATGTTTTCTCTCATTGTAATCTTTTTGCTAGGCAATTACCTTTCCCTTCTTTCCTCCCTGTCCTTCCCCATGTAAGTCCTTCCTTCCATCCCCAGCCTCTACTCTAACCCATAACAATAACACCATTTGTATATTTCTGTATTTTGCTCATATTATAATTAACTAATACACACATGGGCCTACAGATGGATACACATATGCAGGATATCTGGCTAGTTGRCTTTTCAACATTGTGATCATACTATTCATACTTTTCTGTGTCATCTGGATATGATCTTTTTGTTTTTCATGTTGTCACCTTATATTCAAGTTGTTTTCCAGTTCTGATTTATATTGTTCTTTCGTTTCTCGTTTCATTTTCTTAATTTCTTTTAGTTCAATTTGAAATAGTGTATTACAGTTTTGTCTGCCCCTTCAAGCATTTCCCTCTGCTGTGCCTTCATTCCTTAAAAGGATGGTAGTCTGCCCCTTATTCTCTTTTTTTCTTAGAATGATTTTGTACAGGATTTAACTTTGAGAATTTTTGTTCATCTTAATGTGAATTTTGTTTTTCTCCACTTTTACAAGGAGGCTGGGTTTAGGTAACTTTTCTAACTTCACAGGGCTCCTTATTTTTATGTTGGCTTGCTTTCTGAGACCTCCTGGTTCTATTATTTCCCCCTTTCCCTTCTGTACTTTGTCTTTCCTTTTTCCTTTTCTCTGTTGACTCTGTGCTACTCAACTCTGATTAGACTCCTAGTAGTTTCTCTTCTGTGTGGAGCCAAGAACTCTTAAGGGAGTCCTGGTTGATCCATTTTTGAAATTTCACAAGAGCTAAACTGGTCGCAAGTACTGTAAAAAGTTATATTGAGATGAAGTGTTACTTAAGGGTAGTTATTCAATATTGACTATAAACCATAAATAATAGGTACACAGTTTTTCTACTGCTTATCACCAATAGAGCTGAATGATACTGGAAAGTAAATCCAGGGATATCAGTTTCAGCTTTCACTTGCTAAATCCTGCTTAGTTACTTTACTTTGGGCCAGGAAGAAAAAAGGACTTTTTTTCCCTAGTGAAAATTTCCCTCCTCTGCCCCCAGGATAAACAGTAAGTATTCCTTTAAAAAAAAAAAAGTGTTGCCTTTCTCTTATAAAATCTATTTTACTTTTTCCTCGAAGTACACACAGACCAATAACAATATGAGTACTATTCTGAGACCTTTACATAAATACACTTTTTTATATGGTGGAATCACTTCACAGCAAGAGATCACTTATTGGGGGGGGGGGCTATTTTGATAGTGTATGTGCCAGAGACAATTTATAAATGTTCCTCATCAAAATACTTTCCCTTTGCATATATGTACAAAAGCTTAACATTTTTAAGTGATTTTTCTATTTGTTGCAGTCTGTTTATGGGCTAACATGTACCACTTGTACATAAGGATGAAATCTTTTTATTTTCCTTATAGAAAAGAAAACGAAGAGAGAAAGATGATGATGTTGTGAGCCTTAGCAGCCTTGATCTGAAGGTAAGCCTTGATGCCCTATTAAAGAAAAGCACTTTAAAATTTGTGGATATCCTTTTATTTCTATGCTATAAGAATGAATATCAGGTTTCTAGGGGAAAGATGGTTTGTAGAATTTTTAAGTGCAAAATGAATAATACTGGTTCATAGAGACCCTCTTTTTTGCTATTCTACTTCTTGGTTAAAAATAAGGGGGAACCACTCTCAAAACTGTTAGATTGGGGCTAGTGTGTGGCAGCCAAGTCTGCTGAAGAGGAAGCACTGTGGTGCTCTAGCCTTTAAGGAATAGCAAAAATCCCTTAATATGATCAGATACAGTTCATACTTGATGATCTGTGATTACTTATATCTAAGTGTTTTTTTAATTTATAGATTCCCTTTTGCTCTTTGTTTTCTTATAATTTTTTGTTGTTGCTGTTATTGAAGAAATGTCATTTTTTTCCTTTAGCGCTTTCCACATCTCCATGATACTCCATGATATCATTTACCATGTTATGGTATTACTTACATTTCTGATAAGTTGACCAGCAAGTAAATGGAAACTATAAAATGTGAAACCACTGGGCACAGAGGCCTATGCCTGTAATGCCAGGAGCTTGAGAATTTGAAACAGGAGAACCACAAGTTCAAGGCCAGCCTTAGCAACTTAGTGCAACCCTGTCTTAAAAATAAAATTAAAAGGGTGAGGGATGTAGCTCAGTGATAGAGTACCCTGGGTTCAATCTCCAGTACTACCAAAAAAGTGAAACTGCAAATAAGGGAGGACTAACATTGAATTATCTTTCACGAAAGTGTGAAAAAAGACTGGAGACAGTATCTCTACTGTCTGCCTTTAGCTTTCATTGAATCAGAATTTAGTCTTTTCTCTCCATAATGGCAAAGAGAAGGAAATAGAGGGAGACATTTTCATAATTATTAGATAGTGTATGCATATTGACAGATAACAGTGCTATTTCTACACTTCATAACCTACTGAATTCTGGCTTTTTGAAAATATTACCAGAACAACTTGTTGGTAAGAAAAAGTTGAGTTTATTCTACACTGTAATAAGAGAGAACACTAATTAACCTCAACAATCTTAGTAATGTTTTAGAAGGGGGGAAAGTAAATCTGGTTTTAAAATGAAGCTTTTATTAGGGAAGAGGACTTGATTAATTTGAGTAAGAATGATGATAAAATATTGTGGTAAAGGATTTTAGATATCTGGACCATTTTTTTTCACTAAAAAGTGATGTATTGTTTATATGCCAAATGTGATGTTTACAGTGTTTGAAGAAAATTTTTTAAAAACTTCTTTATATCAAAATTTACTTGATATAAAGAAATTTGCTATGTTTAAATTATTAAAATTACTAATGAATCTGTTTTCCCTATTACCTCTTGTTCATGCTTTGTAAAATGACTTAAGATGTTAAAATGTTAAAAACATTTAGTCATTTGGATCCAGATGATAAAGAGTGATGACAGATTTTCCTAGTGTATTGAAGGTTAAGATATTTTTCTTTGCTCTGTGTTTTTTCTAAGTTAGTCTTTTTTTTTTTTTGTCTGAGCTGTTTTTTCTTTTATTTCTAATTCTTTCCTTAATTCTTATCATCTAATTCTGATTTATGTTGTGTCGTGGTTAATTTTAAAACATTGTTATAGTTTTTTATGTTTGGGCGCATATTTTTCTATCATGTTTCTATTGTTGGGATGTTTGTTTTTCTTATAAAGCCTTTTATAAGATTTGACTACAATACTGCTCATTTTGTGTGGAAAAAGGAAGAGTGAGTGAGTTCAGGAGATCTTTTTTTAGCTTCTTGACTCCAAAGCTCTTCCGCTCTTCTGTTTTTTTGAGAAATAAATACATATATTTAAATATATGTATTCCTATTTCCTGAGTTTCCTCCCCAACTTTTATTTCTTCTTCCTTTGCTTCCATCTCCTCTGTCCCACTCGATTTGAGCTCTACTCTCTAAATTTTCTCCATAGTATAGAGCTTTGTCCTGTGAGTGAGCTTTGAGAGTTCTAAAGTTGGAGTGTGCCAGCCATGAATCCCTTACCATTACTCTTGCATATGTAAAACACTTCGTAGTTTCAGCTGCTTTTCCCAAAATGGCTTATCTCACTTTGCTTCGAGTACTTGTTGATAGTTTGGAATTCTGTACTGAGATCTGGCAGATGCCTCATATTTCTTTGCTTTCTTCTCTTATACAGGTCTTGTGGTTGTTTATCCACATGAACTTGTAATTTTGGATTGTCACGTAGTGCTATACATACTGACTTTGGGTTTTGGTTTTGCAGTCTTTGTTCCACGAGCTTTCATGGGCAGATTCAGTGAAACCGTAAAACTGCCACTTCCACAGCCTTTTTCCAAAGTTAAGCCTTAGTTTCTTCTAATTGTAGCAGAGTTCATTGATACTGGATTTATTTTAATTACTATAATCTTTAGGAAAAATAATATGAATACTTATCAGCTAGCCCAAAGTTTGGGGCAGTTGTCATGTGTCCAGAAAATAAAGCTACTACTATGATCAACCTTACCAATAGGAACTGAAAAGAACACATAGGCCAGATTAAAGCCATATACCAAATGCTAGAGAATTTGTTGTCTGTTCCCATTAAAGATTGTACATTTTATACAGTAGCTGAGAATAGAACTTTAAATTTGCAGTGGTCCACTGTCATTCGCCACAGTTCATCTCATTGTAAGAGGCACTCAGATAAACAGAATGAGCATATAGTGGAGACCAACACTCCTACATTCTGGACCTTGGTTAATGGACCAACACTCCTGGTATGCAATACTGCTTCTGATTTATTTTGGCCCACTTGGGGTGATGAAATTTCAGGTACTCTTACTTGGCTGTTCCCACTTAATAACTAAGGACAAACATGAAGGATCTACCAGCTGCTTTTTCAAGTTTTTTTAAGCAATTAATTAATAAATGCCAGCCCAACTCTACAGTGCTTAAAATTACCACTGCCCCTTGTCTTGTTCATTTGCTACCATGAGTACCGAAGCCATTGCCTTTACTGCTTCATCTGTACCTCATCCTGATCCATACCATGTCACCGTTTTACTAATGAGAAATCCTATTCCAGAGTCCTGTCCTGTGTCTCACCACTAGACCAGTTTCATTGTCAGTGTCTTAGCCTAAATTATTYCCAGAAATCAGGGCCTGAAATGAGGGCTCGTTTGACAGGTGATCTATCTTGAGGTGTGATGAGGAAGTAAAACAGAGGGGGTTCATGCAATGTCTACAATTAATCTGGACACTACTGTGGGCAACTGGAATTGGTCTTACTGGGGCTCTATCAGGGGACTGAAGAGAGGACCTTCTGTTCTCCACTAGTCATTGGTGGCCCTTGAGGTATCCGTCACTTACCCTGTAAGGCTACATATGCATAGATTTTACACAGAGCCTCCAGTAAGCAGGTGGAAGGCAAGGGATGCACAGTGCAGCTAAGACCAGGAGCTGCAAGGTTACCTTTAAGGAAGCTGGTTGCTACAGCAGTGAGTGAAGTGAGAATGGGCTGAAAAAAGAGGAAACTGGGTTCAAGACTCAATAGTGTTTTGTATTTAATGTGGAGTCTTAATTAAAGTCAGGGAAAATGAGAGGGATCTCACTCAACATCCTACTACATGAGCRTAAGTGATTATACTGGAAATTATTTCTTAACCTGTATGTATACTTGAGGTAAAAAGTCATCACTAAAATCCTGTGTACATTATTTTATTTACTGTTTATTATTATTTATTATCACTGCAAAAAGAACCATTGCTTTGATAAATACTTCCTAGCCTGCCAAACTATTTGTTTATATACCTCTTTCTAATAGTATTTAATTGATCCAAATTTATGATCTTTTCCTAAACCAAATTCCTAATAAAACATAAATAGGACACTCAAATTTTTATCCAAATGATATTAAAAACCCAAATCCACATATAATTTCATTACTAGTTTCTTTCATACTCATTTAGTCCAAATGTTGTAACTTCCTTTTGTGTTTGTGTGTGTTGTTTTTAACTTATTGCTAGATATTTTAGAGCTCTGGTTTCTCAAAAGTTCCATTTTCTAATCAGTGCTTCCTTTTTTAAGTAAGATTTTTAATTCTGTCTTTAACCCATTTTTAGTGAGATATATAGTAGTATTTGCAATCTTTAAATCTATAATTTTAAGATGGAACATGGTTTTCTTATTTTAGAAAAGCCTTTATATTTCCTGTGAACTATAAAATTTTAATATACTTGATTGTTAAATATGTTTAATTTAGTAATACGAAACGTGAAAACTAGATAAGAACTGAAGATACAAATTTTGCTGTCATTCATATTTTTATACAGATTCAAAGATTGTTGATGTAGTCATCTTTACAATGTCTTTGCGAACATAATTACAAAATTGAAAAACAAAAACAAAACAGGTTAAAAATTTCGTTGCAGTTCACAATATCTCCTGTAGAGGGCAGAAGAGAACTTAGATGTTTTTCTCTGCCCATAATATGGCTTTCCTAGCTTAGTATTCAAATGCTCATTATTATTGTAGATATAAGTAAGTAAAAATAGTACCTAGGCCAAAATGATAAGGACTATCCTTTTTTTTTTTTTCCTCAGTTCTGGGGATTAAACTCAGGGTCTCACACATGCTAGGCAAGCTCTCTACCACGGAGTTACATCTTCAGCTCAGATTTTTCTTAAATTCTACTTTATTTCTACATTTCAAAACATATTTCACATTAAAAGAGGGAGAAAAGTAGGTAGCAGTCATTTTTTTATAGAGAAGGTCGAAACAATATTCTCTTTATTTTATTCCTATTTTAGGAGAAGAAAGCATTTTTAAAAGCAAAACAGAGGCTACAACTAAACATGTCTTTAGGAAACAGTATTTTAAAAAATTAAAAAAGCTTGATCCCTTTTACAAAACTACATTATTATTTTTAGATAACTCAGTTTGGTTTTTAGGTTTATAAATTCTAGATTTTCTACACAAAGACAATTAACCAATCTGCCTCTATT